TCTGGTTTTACAGTACTACGACATATAAATACTTGTGTAACGTCGATCCCGGAAATCATCGGAAACAAAAGTCCCCCTGCTACTTTTTTTGTGTCCCTGCTTGGCACTTACCTGGTCAAATTCAATCAAATTTTTATGCTTATAGAATTAAATAAAAAAAAATTTTGGTCAAATTTGACCAGGTAAGTGCCAATTAATCTTCGCTCAAATTTTAGATGTCTTTAAAAAAAAAAGCTGTAGCCAAAATTTTTTTTAATTTTTAATGAATATTTCTCAACCACCAATTATTCGAATTCGATCAAAATTTTTTTATTTTAATTTTATTAATCCCAGAATTAATGTAAAAAAGATTTCGTCAAATTTTAAATAAAAAAATTTTTGATTTTTTTTTTTTAAAAAAAATTTTAGCAATGATTTCTCGACAGCAACTAAACCAAATTCAATGAACTTTTTTTTATTTTTATTCTACAAGGCTATAAAATTAAAATAAACCGAATTATATCAAGTAGTTATTGAGAAATCATCGCTAGAAGTTTTAAAGACTTTCGAATTTATCAATACGGTTTGTTTATTGGCTGTTTCCTTTTAGGGAATCCCTATTTCAGTCCCGAGTAACAGTACCACTGGAAAAACTCAAGTGTCATCATGTGACTTAATTAATAAATGTTACGGCAGGTCACTGCAAATTTGAAAGGAAAAAAAGATCAGCAATAATTTAAACAAAAAAATCTCCTTTTAATCATAGTTTAGCATGTTACGAAAAATTATTGCTTTCTCATATATATTTAAACCTAATCTATGCCAATACAAATTATCAGATATAAAAGTTTTACCGTATGCTTTCCAAATTAACCGATATTACGTTGAATTTGGAATTTCCAACAATACAGATCAATATGATGAAAGTAGTAATATTATTAAGATGAATAGGTTAATCGAAAGTAGAAAAAGACTGAATTCTAGATGGAATGAAAATGAAGTTAGAAAATTGCTTGATGCAGTTGTTGAACATGGAACAAATTGGAAAACTATTTGGGATCAATATTTTAGACCAAATCGAAATCCTAGTAGTTTAAGAGGGAAATGGGAAAGATTGCATTACGCCAAACAAAGACCATCATATCATAATCCATGGACACCAGAAGAAGATAAAATATTAGCTGCTGGAATCGCTAAATATGGAGTTGGAAAA